GTCACTAAGTTAAGACTAAATCACTGTATGAGTCCTTTTCTTTAGCCCAAGTAACGTTTGGAGCATTAAATCATGGGTAAACATCCTTTAGGTCCCTATATTCTTGTAGTGTTTTATTTAGATTACTAAAATTGGCATTTTTGTTATTATTTCAATTTGGGCTACATATCATGTCTTATTTGTTTTAGTCATTTATATGTTTTATGGTATTTTATTTAGGACATCATGTTTACATTTATTTTAATTTAGACCCCGTAGCATCAGTTATTGTATCATTTGATTATGATATTTATTTTATTTTTTATTTTAGTTTAGTCACTATTAGTTTTTTATTTAGCCATTGTTATTTTATTTTATTTTTCATTTGGATCCTGTTTATTTTTTATTTAATTATTATTTTATGTTTTGCATTTTAATCTACATAATTAGATTTTATTACAATTTAGGTCATGTATTTATTTTAAATTGATTGTTGAGGATCTTATTTGTTCATATATATTTATTAGATCCTTCTACTTTAATCCTTTAATTTTTTGTTTGTGTTATTTTAGTACTTTATTTTTTATTTTTGCTATTTAATCCCTTAAGTTTTTTTTTTCTTGCAGCTCGTTCTTAAGATTAATTCGACCCATAAATTTTAATTGTTTCCAATTTAATTTTTAATTTGATTTTTTTCATTCCTTTTTATATTTATTTTATTTCAATCTTAATACTAACTCTTTGTGTTTGTTTGTTTTATTTTCTTACTTTATTTATGATTTTTTAGGATTTTAATCAATTAAAGGTAAGTAATTTGAATCGAATCTCTAAATTTTAATTTAAATTGTAATTTTCGTAATTAAGACAACCGATAAATTAAATGGTACCGAAAGGGCAGTTCAAGGGTGTTAATCCTTCCTTGACTGTAACCGACTCCCGAATCCGATATATTTCTGGTAAAACGCAGATCAGGTATGATGGTATCCGATCAACCAAATTTTTTACGAAAAATAAATGATCGGTGGTGACTCCAATATTTTATTCCAAGTCGAAGCCAAATTCTGGAACCACCCGAAAGACGGTCGCGACACCCAGGCTCTGTTATTTCCGCCTCACTACAGTTGAAGGAGATGAAGAAAACAGAATTCCCAAAAAAGAAAGTTGGCACAAGGGGAAATAAAGTAGGCGAATTTAGAAGAAGAAAAAAATTGAAGACAGCTCAGTCATCAGCAGAACCAAAAAGCAAACATCACCAACAACCATCAGCAGTAACGAGAGAACCCATTTGAGCAAAAATCAACAATAACCAAACCAGTAACGATTAGGAAGAAGCATCCAAAAGAAAGAAAAAAATTACCTTCATAATCCAGAGGCCTTCCCTCGCATTGCTAGGAACCAAAATCCATTCAGGTTTAAGGTAAACCTCTCGTTCTTTGAATGTTTCTAGCTACTGTTTGGGCGTGAGGTTTGTTTTATGGGTATGTTGAATAGAGGGCTTCGGGTTTAGGGAATGGTTATAGGTTAACAGTGGGTTTTTCTGTTTGTGATGTCTAGGTCGTAGGTTTTGGCAAGAGTAGAAATAGTTGAGTTGAGATTTTAAATAGTGTTGATTTTTATTTTTCTAGTAGTAGTAGTGTTGATATTAGCAGTCCTTTGTACATGCATACAACATATATATTTTCTTTGTTCTTCTATATTATACGTTATTCTAACAATGTATACAACTTGCTTGATGAGCCGGATTTAGAGAGTCAGTTAATCTCGGAAGATGTTAACAATGTTTGATTTTGATTTAATATTTTTCTAGACTTAATATTATGGTTGAGTCTTAAGATTTGACACTTTAATATTATGATTTTATTATGGATTTATACTCTAGAGTTAATATTATGGTTTGAATCTTGAAATTTGACATTTTAATGTTGTGGTTTGAATCTTGATATTTAACTTTATTTATGATTTTTATATATATTTATAATTTTAAAATTATTTTATAGTCGTACCCTATAATTTAAAAATTGTCATTTTACGTCCCCGTCTCTGTATCCGTCTCGTATCCGTATCAGTGCAACATAGGTTTTCGAGGAGGACTTGCTTGCCCACAACTAAGGTGGATGAACCGCTCTTGTATTTCTCAGTCGTTTTCCACCATGAAGATGCCGAAGGAAGCTTGAGGTTGGCGGAACATAACGAGTTGATGAAATCGACGATTATGGAGCGTGGGAATGGGTAAACTTGCCGTACCAGATGAGATTGATGGCGATTTTTCCATTAAAAGAGAGCCATGTGGTAATTCAACGCCAGAGGCTACTCTTGAACCAACTCGCAGAAGGAAGAAGGGATGATACAAAATAGGAAAGAGTGGCAAGTTTGTAAATAGAAGCTGTCATTGTTTTAGTTGTGGGAAAATCTTGAGAAAGATATCGACAGGTGGCTTGATTGATAGAATATGTAAATATTAATGATCAAATATAGAATTATGTCAATTTTATTAACGTACACGTAATCACTTTCGTTAAAAATTAACGGGTCAGTTGTTTGATTGAAACATTTATATAATTGAGTGGTTTGATGATTCAATTAAAACTTTGGTGGTCAAATTGATTTTTAATCATAGTTTAGTGATCTACAGTGTAGTTACCATTTTTAAATCGAAAAGTAGTAGTAAATTTTCCTATGATGTATGTTAACTAAAACATATTTTAAAAAGGGTAAATTTTCCTATGAATTTTATTCTCTCTTATTTTATTCATTATATTTTTAATTTTTCAATTTAATTACTAAACTTTATAAATTAATTTTTTTCACTCAGCCTTAATTTTCTAACAGGACTTGGTTTAAATTAAATATTTTTATTGTTAAAATACATGTCAGAAAACAAAAGTTAAAAGAAGAGTAAAAATCAATTACCCAAAGTCAAATCTTCTTACCGTCAACAGCTCCACCAAGGGTCGGTGCTTCCTCTCCGTTTATATATGTGATCGTAACGAAGCTCACGCTATGACCATTGCGTTCCTGCCGTTGCAACTTCCTCTTCTCAAAGGTTCCGTCCAAAAGGTCTTGATCCAACGGTGATAGAGAGTTGAAACACCCTTGATAATCGATTAAGCATACGCAGACATGTACATGCTAAGCAACCCATGCATGCATGTCAATCACAGTGTGGTTTTTGTTGATGCCATGAGTTGTCTCACCATCGCCTATAAAGTGCTTAGCACAAGCCACAACCTTGTCTGCCTATGCTTAATAGAGAATGGAAGGCAGTTCCAATAATGGAGAAGAAAGTAGCAAGGGGGGAAGCATGGCGAAAGCGAAGCGGTGATGTTGAGAGGAAAGCACCCAAGAGGCGATTTTGGAGAGAGCGGTGAAAGCGAAGCGGTGATCGTGAGCTTAGAGTTGAAGAAGAGAAGGATGGCTTGCTTTATGGAATGCAATCTAGTGATTCCGGTTGTTTTCATTTCAACAAGCGACTCTACGTCCATATCCACGCAAAATAGTATGTCGTCCAATGGCGGATGTACGTATTACTCATGGTGGGCACGTGTCTGCTTTAAATCCATAATTTTTTGTGTTAGTTGTTAATTTTATTTAAAATGTATATCATAAAATTTTATTGGTGTTTATTTCATACGAAAAGTTTATTTTATTAATACATATGTGTATACCTTAAAAAATATTTCTGGATTTGCTATTGATTTCGTTAGTTTTCATCGGCGTCGGATTCTATGTTTAACGGTGTGCTCCGCCCACAGAGGCGTCTCCTTCGATTCCTTCAATTTTCATTTTTCCTCGATTTCAATCTTGGGGAGAGAAGAAGATAGTTGTAACCAAACAAAGTGGAACATGAAATAAACAAATTCAAACTGGTCAGTTGTATCCACGTGGCTGGTTTTATTATTAAAATAAGCCATATAATAAAGTTGTTACTCAGAAAATGGTAAAACAATTTCAATGTATAAAATTAAGTGATTAAATTGAAAAAAATTAAAAATACAATGAATAAAATAGAAGAAAGAATAAAATTAAGTGAGTAAATTTGTAATTTACCCTTTTAAAAAGGTATGGTATTGAAGTTTATGCTACATAAATAACTTGGGTTATAAAATTTTTGAAATTTGAAATTCAAAAATATGTCGCCAATTTTCACAATAAAAGGTTAAATTACATATTCAGTCACTCAATTATTATTTTGTTCTGTTTTAATTACTCAATTAAAATTTTTCAAAATAATAACTAAATTTATATTTTGATTTCGTTTTGGTCACCCGCCTTAAAAAAAATTAACAATGACGTTAAGATATCACCATAAGATAATGTCAGATCATCATTGAAGAAAAAATTACACATCAGTAGTTTTGTTTATTTTTAACGGCAAATAACCAAAATGGAATCAAAATGTAATGTTAAGTATCATTTGAAAAAGACATACAATCAAAATTAACCCCATATATTTACCAAAATGGTCATTTTGGCTCATATTTTTTTTAGAGTATTTTAATCCTAACATTTTATTTTAGAGCAAAATTGTCCTAACGTTTGATTAAATAGTCACTTTGACCTTTATTTTTTTGGAGCGACTCTCAACGTTTCATCTTAGAGTAAAAAGCCTTTACTTTGAAATCGTTTGTTAACTATCGATTTCATCACGAAGGGATATTTTTCATAAAATAAAATATTTTGGGGAAAAATGCTAAAAAGGAATAAGAGCCAAATGACTATTTTGGTAAATATTGGGGGACTAATTTTGGTATTATTCCTTTGAAAAACAAATAGTTGGATGACCAAAACAAAACTAATGTGATAATAGGATGACTAAATACGTAGTTTATCCTAAAAATTACAAATCCAAGCAGAGAGAAAGCTTGGTGGGGGTTGAACGTTACTCCTAGCAATAAAATTACCCCGTTGATTTCCAGCAATTACGCATCCACCCTCCTTTCACTTTCTGTCTCCAATCCCAAACAGCAAACAGTCCACCCTCACAAATTGGCGCAATTTTTGCTATAAATCCAATTGATAAGCTAATTTCAACTTAGGGTTTTAAGGTAGAAACAATAAAGATGAAAGCTTCATTGAAATTTCGTGAAGAGAAGAAGCCAGTTTTGAGAGCCAAAATACCTCTCAGCATCTTAGGCCTGCCCTTTCAATCGGGGATCGTCGCCGGCGATTCCAAGGAGTTCGCCTTAAATCTCTCCACCTTCTTCGAATCTGGACCGTCCATCAAGATTGCATACCGTCCTAATGACACGTGGAGCCCTTTCTCTCTTATCATCAAGACTGGAACCGGAGCCTTTGGTTCCCCCGTCTCCAGCTCCATGCTCATGAGTGCCGAGTTTAACCTCCTTGGCCGTGGAAACCCTAGCTTTATGCTTCACTTCAAACCCCAGTTTGGGGATTTCTCGATCAAGAAGTCGCAGTCTTCTGTTTTCGATAAAGCCGTGAAGCCTAGCAATGGCGGCGTTTTGGAGGACGATTCGTTGATTGAAGTGGTGGATTTTCCTGCTGTTAGTGGCGATTCGATCGGGTTCTTTGCCGATAAAAGAAAACTGGCGGCTTTCAATTCGAAGGATTTCGCGGGGATACTCTCCGGAATGGAGATAGCAGCGAGGACGTCCGTGCCGGTTAAGGGAAAGGCGTTGGTGAAATTCCGTTGGGGGATGAGGATTCCATCGGAGATGAAGAGTGGTGTAGGCGGAATTGCCGATCCAAAGACTGGGTTTTCGTTGGCGAAGATTCCATTCTTGGTGATGGAAAAGATCGGGATCGAACACGTGGACGGCACTGAATCCAAGCAGGATATATCCACCGCCAGTAAATCGGGTCCAGAGGCTGGCCCTAATTCCGACGCGGCGGAAGTGTGTTATACAATCAAACGACAGCTGGAAGCTTTGAAATCCGAGAATGGGTCACTGAGGAGAGCCGTGGAGGAGCTCAGGCATGAAATATCCATGGGAAAATATAGAGAATTCGAAAGAACTTCAATCAGCAAACCGAAAACGGAGAGAGAGGAAACAATGAGAAGAAATCAAACGAGAATGGAGAGAGGAAACAAGGAGAAGAAATCAGTGGAAGGGGATTTGAGCGGGGAGTTGAAGAAAGCATTGAAAGGAGCTGGTGGGTCTTGAATTTGCTGCCATATAATGATAATGTAAGTTTTGTTTTCCAGAAATTCATGTCTGGATTGGTAATGCTACAAAATAGATTAAATTTTGCATGCGAATTTCGTTTTGAATCTTTGAGTATTGAACACAGTACTAAATTACGGTGTTGCGACCTCAATATATTACCAAGGTATTGAATCAGTAGCTGGTGTGAGTAGCGAATAATTCAATTGTAAATTGGGTTGATTTGGTGGTTTCTATGGCGCTGTAGGTAAAAGCTGTAGTGCCAATAGGGAAGCATGTGAAAACATGCAATAAGAAACTTAACCATTTGCTTTACAGATCAAGTCAGGTGGGAATGTTCAATGCTGAACCATTTGCATAAGAAGCTTAAGAGATTCTGGTTAGGGTTGTAAATGGATCCGGTTTAAACGAATTTGGTTGTGTTTGTATTCGTTTGTTTATTTTTTTAAGGCATTCATGCTCCGTTCGTGATAGTTTAAATTTTTAATAATTTGTTATTGTTCGTTTGTTTATATTTGGAAGCATTTGTGTTTGATTCATTTGTTTATATTTGGAAGCAGGTTTCAAATCGCGGTCGCGGTCACGATTTCGGTCATTTCGGGTTTACCGTGATTGTGGCCGTCACGGGCGCTATTGCGGGTGTAGCGGGTAACTCAGACGGCGGCGAAACCGCTATATTACGGATGAAATCGCGTTTTCGAAACGTTATTTGAAACTCTGTTTGGAAGTGTTTGTTTTTGGTACGTTTAGTGTTCGTTAGGTATGACAATTTAACCTGAGATTGATGGATTTTGACTCGATCCAACTCGAAATGGTCGGATCTTATATAGGGGGTGAGATCGGGTTGAGTTTGGGGAGGGTGAAAAATCTTTTACTCAACCCGAGAATAATACTTATTTTTTTATATAAATTTATGGATAATTGTTATAATTCCCATCTCTCTATAGTTTTTTTTTAAAACTAGGCAATTATTTTATTTCGGGTCAGATCATATTTATACTTTAAAATTTTGGGTCAGGTCGGATTCGGGTGGAAGAAATATGCTCTTCGGGTTGGGTTGGGTAGGGTGGAGAATATATATTTTTCGGGTCGGGTCAGATTCAGATAGAGGATATATATATTTTAGGTTGGATTGTATTAACAAAAAATCTGATCCAGCCTGACCCGTTGCCATCACTAGTGTTCGTGATCACGTTCTTTTATATGTTTAAAAATCTTAACTCTATAAAAACAAAAAATTAAATAAAAACATGTCAATTTAGGATAGTTTAACAATATTTTTGGATTTGAAATCAACATTTTTTATTGACTAAATAGGTATTTCAATTATACATAAAGTTAATTTTAGGCGTCTAAAGAATTTTTCGTTTAAAATAGTGTCGAACATTTTCAACGTCAATTTTTTTAAGTATTTACAAAAAAAAATTATTTATTTTTTTTAAAAAATACTTAAAGTTATTATTATTAAAAAAACTTAAACTTTTTTTAAATTACAAAAAAAATCTCAAAATCTTGAAAACCATTTATTTCAATCCTTTTATTACCATTGGTTATTGCCAACGTCGATCAAAATTCGGACGGCGAAAGATCACCTGATCACCCACCATGCGAATCTCATGCTTCAAGCAATGATTGCAGAGAAGAATGGACGATTGTACAGTGATGACTTCAGCAGCTATTCCTCTTGTTGTGCGATGAAACTATGGATGTAAAATCGGGTAATCGTTCAAGTTTCAGTCGGATCTTATCAGGTCGGGTAAAATTGGATACAAGTCAAGTCAGGTAAATTTGATACTTCGACTCGGATCAGGTCGGGTCCAGGTCAAATCAGGTCAGGTCATTTTCAGGTTGATTCGACACCAGATACAATTCGAGTTACTTTCAGTTTGGATTCAAAACAGTTCAGGTTTGGAGTAGTTAAAAAGCAGGTTAATTTAAGTTCGGATGGACTTCAGGAGGATATCGTTTAGATCGGGTCACATCATTGGCATATAAAATTCAGGTTGGATCTCTATCAGATACGGATTAAGTTCAAATTGGGTTAATTTTTATTTTTGGATTAATTATTTTCGTCTTTTGCGAATTTTGAATTGTAATATGTAATTATATATGATTTAGAGTAAAGTACTAAGAATATAAATAATCATGGTTCAATTTTATGAAAAATAAAAAATTTAAGAATTAAATTGAGCAAATATTAAATTACAAATAAAAATTTAATTAAATTAAACAACACACATTGATGTAGGATCAAATCGAAATAATTTTAAATTGTGAGGTTGAAATTAATACAAAAAAGTACTAAATTATACTCATTTAAAAAGTTATGGGCCAATTAAAAAATAGAAATAAGTAATAAGTATAGGTCAATTTTAGATGCAAATAAAATTTGGAAGACTAAATTGAACAAATATGAAATTACAAATTAAAATTTAAATAAATCAAACAACACACATTGATGAGGGATCAAATCAAAATAATTTTAAATTGTGAGGTTGAAATTAATACAAAAAAGTACTAAATTATATCCATTTAAAAAGTTATGGGCCAATTAAAAAATAGAAATAAGTAATAAGTATGGGTCAATTTCAGATGCAAATAAAATTTGGAAGACTAAATTGAACAAATATGAAATTTTTCAGATGAAAATAAAATTTGGAGGACTAAATTGAACAAATATGAAATTACAAATAAAAATTTAAATAAATTAAACAATGCACATTGATGAGGGATCAAATCGAAATAATTTTAAATTGTGAGGTTGAAATTAATACAAAAAAGTACTAAATTATACCCATTTAAAAAGTTATGGGCCAATTAAAAAATAGAAAAAAGTAATAAGTAGGGGTCAATTTTATATGCAAATAAAATTTGGAGGACTAAATTAGACAAATATGAAATTACAAATAAAAATTTAAATAAATTAAACAACACAAAGGGATTAAATATGAAAAATATTATAAAATAAACTAAATTGCATTCATTTCCAAAGTTGAACTAATATATATATATTATGTATAAAATATATATACCATGTATATTTTATAATACTATATAGTTTATATATATGAACTATTAAATTGTATAGAAACTAAATAGTTTATATATAAATTATATATGAATTATATATAAACTATACAATTTATATTTATATATTATGTATAATTATAAATAATATATATTGTATAAATTATCTAGTTTATTAATATAAACTATATAATTTATATATATATATATAGCTTAGGGTTTAGGGTTTATGATTTAAAGTCAATTTATTGAATTATATATAAATTATATAGTTTATAGATAGTAGTATTTAAACTATATATACACAATATAACTTATAATATATGTAAACTATATATACTATATAGTTTACATATGAACTATATGTATAAACTATATATATAAACTATGTAATTATATAGTTTACATATGACCTATATATATAGTTTATTAGTAAACTATATAAACTATTTATATAGTATATATTATATATATAATATATAATATATAAATTATAGTTTATATTTATATACTACATACTATAATTTATATTTATATACTATATTTTATACTATTTATATAAACTATAGTTTATATTTATATACTATATATATGAATTATAGTTTACATATGAACTATATATATAAACTATATAGTTTACATATAAACTATATAGTTTATATACTAACTATAGTTTACATATAAACTATAGTTGATATTTACATATGAACTATATATATACTATAGTTGATATTTATATATGAACTATAGTTTACATATAAACTATATAGTTTATATACTAACTATAGGTTACATATAAACTATAGTTGATATTTACATATGAACTATAGTTTACATATGAACTATATATATAAACTAAATAGTTTACATATGAACTATATATATACTATAGTTGATATTTATATATGAACTATAGTTTACATATAAACTATATAGTTTATATACTAACTATAGTTTACATATAAACTATAGTTGATATTTACATATGAAATAGTTGATATTTATATATGAACTATAGTTTACATATGAACTATATATATAAACTATATAGTTTACATATGAACTATATATATATTATAGTTGATATTTATATATGAACTATAGTTTACATATAAACTATATAGTTTATATACTAACTATAGGTTACATATAAACTATAGTTGATATTTACATATGAATTATACTTTACATATGAACTGTATATATAAACTATATAGTTTATATATGACCTATATATATATACTATAGTTGATATTTATATATGAACTATAGTTTACATATAAACTATATAGTTTATATACTAACTGTAGTTTACATATAAACTATAGTTGATATTTACATATGAACTATATATATAAACTATATAGTTTACATATGACCTATATATATATATAGTTTATTAGTGAATTATATAAACTATTTATATAGTATATAATATATATATAAACTATAGTTTATATTTATATACTATATATTATATATATAAACTATATATACTATATAGTATAATTTACATGTGAACTATATATAAAAACCATCACTACAGCAAAACAGGTATTTTACGGCGTTTTTTTACCTATAGCGGCGTTTTTAAGCGCCGCTAAAAACACATACGGCGTTATGACAAACACCGCAAAAAGCTCCGCTGAAAATAGCGTCGCTAAAGTTAGCGGCGTTTTTTAAAAACAAATGCCGCAATAGGTGACAACAACAAACGCCACAATAGGTGTTGTTATTTAGCGTTATTTTTCAGAAAAAACGCCGCAATAGGTGTTGATGTTTAGCGGCGTTTTCCCTAAAAAGCCGTAGTAGGTGTTGAGATTTAGCGGCGTTTTACTTAAAAATGCTGCAGTAGGTTTTGATATTTTGCGGCGTTTTTCCCACAAATGTCGCAGTAGGTGATGATTTTTAGCGACGTTTTTCCCACAAACGTCGTAGTAAGTTTTCAGATTTAGCGGCGTTTGTATCGAAAACGACGTAATAAAGGTTAAGAATTAGCGGCGTTTCTAGTATACAAACGCCGCTAAATGTATGATATATTGCGACATTTCTAGTATACAAACACCGCTAAATGTATGGTATATTGCGGCGTTTTTTACAAACGCCGCTAAATAACACAGAATTTAACAGTTCTAAAAATAATGCTTGGTTACCCCAAATCTGTTTTTCCAACCTGTTCCATTATCCAACAAACAAAACAACAATAACATCAAACTCTATATACATAACAAACAACATCAAATCCAATATAATAAATATAAATTTTCATTAATGTAATATAAGTTCAGTTAAACAAGGTTCAGTAACATTAACAGAATTCTCATAACATAAATGAGACTACGATGGTGGATTCTGAGGTTGCGTTTTCTGTATCATTAGCATCATATCATTGAGTCGTTTTTAAAATTCTTCACATCTCTGCTGATATGTTGCTTCTCTCTATGCTACCGATGCTTCTTTCTCTGTTTCCGCTGCTGCTCTCTCTGCTTCTTTTCCTTCATTTTCTGCTTTCAAGTTGCCATTTGTTAATTCATCTCAGCCAACTTTTCTTTTAAACGACTAACTTTGTGGTGGGAAGATCGAGATTGTGATGACATGTACTGTGATGAGCTGGAACCAAAATATTTGGTGAGAGTAACGAATGATCCTTGACAGCGCACCCGACCAT